TGTTTGAGAAGAGAGTTGAGAGGCCGCACCTTGGTGGCGAGATTCTTAAGGAATTTCTGGTAGTAGCTAAGTCCACCGAGAAGACTCCGAAGCTGCTTAACATTCGTCGTCGGCGGCANTCGCTTAACAACGTTGTGACAACCTTGACCATGCCCGGGGCGTACTTGAAGGGGACGCCTCGTTTGAGAAGAGAGTTGAGAGGCCGCACCTTGGTGGCGAGATTCTTAAGGAATTTCTGGTAGTAGCTAAGTCCACCGAGAAGACTCCGAAGCTGCTTAACATTCGTCGTCGGCGGCATGTGCGTGAGCGCCCTAACCTTGACGCCATCAGGGCTAACACCTGCCGGAGAGATGGTGTGACCGAGAAAGTTGGCGTGCGTGGCGCCGACGCGACCCTTCCCTGGAGACAGTTTGAGGTTGTACTGTCGCAGTCGTTTGAAGAACTCGATCAAGTTTAGCACGTGTCCCAGAGGTTCCTCATCGAAACAGATGACATCGTCCAGATTAGCCAGCACACGCTCCAGACCGTGCACTACTCGGTGATGACCTTGACGAACCAAGACGGACTTGCGTTGGCGCCCTGCGGCGTCCGAAGCCATTCGAACAACTGCGTGGGAGTGCAAGAGGCGGTGAGCCGGACAGTGTCTTCATCACAAACGATCTGGTGGAAAGCCGAGTTGAGGTCAAAGGTGGAGAACACTTTCCCGGTGTACAGGGAATCCAAGATACCGTCCACTCGAGGGAGGGGTTGTCCATCCGAATCCACCAGAGCGTTGAGACCTTTGTAGTTGACGGTGATGCGAACAGATCCGTCCTTCTTGGGGATGACAACTAAAGGAGAAGCCCACGGAGATGTGGAATGTTGAATGAGCCCTGCCGCCAAATACTGGTCCAAAACGGCATCCACTTTCTTTTGCATCAACGGGTTGATACGATACGGGCGTGATGCAACGGGCTTCGTCCCTGCTGGGACAGAAAGCGTGAACGGCATTATGTTGCAGGAACCAAAATCAGTTTTCGAAGTGGAGAACACGTCAGAATATTCCACAAGGGCGTCGGCCAAACGATCAATAGCCTCCGGTGTCCATCCCGGATTGTGTAGATCGAAAGCGATGTCGTGCATATGTGCGGGCAGCCTAGTCCACAACCGCATGAAGCTGGAGCGCTGTGCCTCAGAGAAGCGGTCGAGTAGTTCTTGTGGAGGCGGCTTCGGAGGAGGCGGGGCGGAGGCTGCGTCCGGAGAGCGGTGAGTCCCGGACTTG